CTGGATTCCTCCCAAATCCTGGCCCCAGACCTGCACCATGGAACCAAGAAAGCCTTTGGAGAAGGACCTCAAAATGCTAAAACAGAACAAGAAAACTGCACTCAAAGTCTCATTTTCCTTGTTCTTGGGCCTCCAGAGTGCTTGCCAGGCAAGTGTTCTTCCACCACGGAGCTGGAGTCTGAGCTGGTGGTGGTGGTAGACTGTGTGCAGGGACGAACTCAGAGGAGGCGGCTCTGACCAGGTGGTGCAGGCCAGTACAGGCTGAATGCACAGAGCCCACAGCAAGCTGCTCTCAGTCTGGGTTGCTTGAGAAGGCAAGAGATGGATGCCCATTTATCAGGCCCTTGGTCTCCTTGAGATGGCCCCAGGGACAGAGGTCCCCGAGCCGGGTTGGTATGGCACAGACCAGGCTGTGATACAGATGGACAAAGAGATGTCTTCCTATGGAAACTTCAGAACATTTTGGAGCTGACCAAATGGAACTTGCTTGAAGTATCCACTTCCTGATTGTGCTTCATCTTGCCTCCTTCTTGCCACTAAGACTTCTTAGGGTCACAGGATGAGGGCACCACCTAGATGGAGGACTTCCTCTGTCCCTTGTTCCCCTGAAGAAGGGGTACCTGCCATGGCTAGGCACTGACCACAGAGCCACAGCCTGGTCTCTCCAGGGGCTCCAGGAAAGACAGGCAGTGCAAACGAATACACAGATCGTTCAGGAGGTGACATGGAGAACATTAGATCTATTCCCCCCTGCCCCAGCTGCATCCCTGCAGTGATTAGAACCTTCAGTGTTAGATCCCTGCAGCATCTAGAACCTGGTATACCAGAAAGTACCCTACTTGCCTTCTGCCATCCCTTCCCAGGTCTAGGTGTCAAGTCTCTTCACCATCCTGTGTCAGCCTCCTGGAATCTTCTGGTCTTGAGATAACCACCTCAAAGTGGGACACGAGCCAAGAAACAGCCTGCAAAATCCCCAGAGGCCTGGCCTGGTCCCCAGACTGTCATGGGTTGCCATTAATGCGCCACTTCCCCCTTTCAGTCCTTGGCAGCAGCTCCATGTGCCTGACTCATCCCAGCCCACGTGCAGTGAGGAACCCAGAATCTCTTTCTCTGCAACGCTACTAACCTGCAGCTCTCCAAACTCTCTCGAGACCTCAGCGCCAGGATTTATATTTATCCAAGGTAGCTTCATCTGGCCACTTAGGATGAGGCCTTGTTTCCTAATATGACCTCTGTGGGGAACTATGTTTTTCTTTTAGTCGTATTAGAGCTTAAAGTCAGGGCCTCATACTTGGTAGACAAGTGTTCTACCAGTCCTTTTGTTTTTACTTAGGTGTTTGCTTTTCTGATAGAATTTCCAGCTTTTGCCTGGACCAGCCTCAGACCTGCATCTCCCTACCTCTGCCTCCCAAGTAGCTGGGACCCCAGGGATGTGCTTCCTAGCCCAGTTTATTTTTCAAATAAGGTCTCAGTAACTTTTGTGGAACTTGCCTTGAACCTTGATCTCCACCTACCACACAGCTGGGATTATAAGCATGTATCAATACACCTGGCCCCACATGGGGAACTTTTTTGTTGTTGGTGGTGGTGGTGGTGGTTGTGAAGCTTGAACTCAGAGCCTTGGATACAGTCCTTGAGCCTCTTTGTGTTCAAGGCTAGCACTCTACCACTTGAGCCACAGCACCACTTCCAGTTTGGAGGTGGTTAATTGGAGATAAGAGTCTCACGGGGATTGTTCTTCCTGGGCTGGCTTTGAACTTCGATCCTCAGATCTCAGCTTCCTGAGTAGCTAGGATTACAACACCCAGTTACACGGGGAACCTTAAAGAAACAAATTCCCAGGCTCCATCTTCAATACTTTTGAACAAGTCTATTCGAGAGTGCAGGAAAAACAAACAAATAAAACGTGTGCTGTTGTTTTCGAAGCTCTGGTGTTATTGAAGCCATCCTTGTTCTCAATAGCCCCCACTGTCCGTCCCAAACACCCACAGACAATTGCTTCCAGAAATTGTGTCTCTGTGGCTGGTCTTCTGCCAGATCCTCTTTGTAAAGACTGGGAAAAACTGGCCTTTCTGACGATCATGTCTGGCCCTGAGCAGGTAACAGTTATTTAACCCAGGGCCTGGCTAAGCTGTGGGGCTAAGATGCAGGAGTCCCTTCCTCAGGGATCTTTCCAGCCCTGCCTGCCCGCTCCACCTTTCCTCCATGCCTGGCCTGGCCTTTGCTTTGCAGAAGCCAGAAGGCAGGGCAGAAGGGAGGCGAGTGGGGCTGTGTCCTTAGGCTTGGGGCTAGGGTAGAGTGGGTGAGGCACTTACCTCCAGCGCAATAGTCAGAGATGGCATCAAAAAGCTCAGGGATCACAGAAAAGAATATTTTAGAGTGATATCTTAACACGGATGATATTTTGATGAACGAAGTCTCAAAATTTAAAATAAAGACAGAATTATTCATGGTGCCAAGTCAGTTCAGAGCCTGAGGTAAAAGGAAAATTCAGTAACAGAGAGGGAAAAAACAAAACACTCCAAACTTTGTTAAATATCCTTAGAGAGAGAGGAGATATTTCACCCATGATACAAAAACAAGAGGCTTTAAAAGAAAAAATAAGCCAGGTGCCAGTGGCTCACACCTGTAATCCTAGCTAATGAGGAGGCTGATATCTGAGGATTGCAGTTCAAAGCCAGCCCAGGCAGAAAAGTCCCTGTGAGAGTATCATCAATTAACCTTAACTCAGAAACCAGAAGTGGTGCTGTGGCTCAAGTGGTAGAGTGCTAGCCTTGAGCACCAAGAGGCTTAGGGACAATGCCTAGGCCCTGAGTTCAACAACTGACAAAAATAATAATAGTAGTAGTAATAATTAATTAATTAAAGAAAAATATTGCAAAATAATAAAGAACTCTTAGAAGCCAGGTACCTGTAGCTCATGCCTATAATCTGAGCTGCTCAGGGAGAGTGAGATCTGAGGATTGCAGTTCGAAGTCAGCCTGGGCAGGAAAGTTCATGAGATGCCTATCTCCAATAAACTACAAAAGCCAGAAATAGAGCTGTATCTCAAGTGGTAGAGTGCTGGCCTTGAACAAAAACAAGCTCAGGAACAGTGCTCAGGCCCTAAGTTCAGCCCCAGGATCATCACCAAAAAAAAAAAAAAAAAGAGGAGGGGGGAATTAAAGCAGAAAAAAAATCCAGAATTCACTAATATAAGTCCCAAGTTGAAAAGGTTCCCCCAATGACCAGCATGAGGAATGGAAAAGAACAACCCTCATGATTCCCAAAAGCTGGGTTCACAGGAAACACCCCATAAACTTTCAGAGGTATATAGAAATGTCAGAAACAAGAGTGACAGCCAAGCTATTAAAGTGACACTGGATGACAAGGTGACATGCCTTCACACTTTGGGAGAAAGTTTTTATTGTGTGTTTATTAGTCCTGGGGTTTGAACTCGGGGCCTGGGTGCTGTCCCTGAGCTTTTTTCTCGAGGCTAACACTCTACCACTTGGACCACAGCTCCACTTGCAGCTTTTTTGGGTGATTAATTGAAAATAAGAGTCTCAGAGACTTTCCTGCCCAAGCTGGCTTCAAACCACAATCCTCAGATCTCAGCTTCCTGAGTAGCTAGGATTATTGATAGGCATGAGCTACCCGCACCTGTCTAGGAAACTCATTTTTAATCCATATATCTATATTCAGCAAAACCATCAATCAAATTGAGAATAAAGGCATTTTTAGACTTGTAAGTTCTCAAGAGAATTTTTCCTCTTATGAGAAATTCAGGAAGCACAATTGTTAAGGGTGGGGGAAAGCAGGAAAAAGAGGACCCAGGGCCAAGAGAACAGAGGAGAAACAATTTGCCTGACAGGCAGGAGCAAGGGTTCCGTGGGAAACAAAGAGCTCACAGGTTTCACTATACTAAAAATTATATTTAGGCCGGGCACCAGTGGTTCACATCTGTAATCCTAGCTACTCAGGAGGCTGAGAGCTGAGGGTTGTGGTTTGAAGCCAGCCTGGGCAGGAACGTCTATGAGACTCTTATCTCCAACTAACCACCAGAAAACCAGAAGTGGTACTGTGGCTCAAATGGTAGAGCTCTCACCTTGAGCTGAAGAGCTCGGGGACAGAGCCCAGACTCAGAGTTCAAGCCCCATGACCAACCAAAAAAAAAAAAAGCTGGGTGCTGGTGGCTCTTGCTAATAACCCTAGCTACTCAAAAGGCTGAGATCTGAGGATTGCTGCTCAAAGCCAGCTCAGGCAGAAAAGTCTCCATAAGACTCTAATCTCCAATTAACCATTCAAAAACCAGAAGTGGCTCAAAGTGGTAGAGTGCTAGCCTTGAGCAAAAAAGAGCTCAAGTACAGTGCCCAGTGTCCAGGCCCTGAGGACAAGCCTTATGACCAAATAAATAAATAAATAAGATTAAAGATATAGCAAAGTAATGGTGGCCAAGAATATAAATGTCAAATCTTCATCCACCACCAGAGGCTGTCCACAGATTATGTCTATGAGGGACCTATCAAGAGCAGCAGTTGACATGGGGAGATGGAGGTGGAAGCCAGGACAGCTCACAGGTACCATGCTGAGGAAAGGGATGAGTAGACAGTATGGAGGGACTTTTGGGTGTTTTGTTTTGTATTGGTACTAGAGCTTGAACTCAAGGCCCGTGCACTGTTCCTTAGCTTTTCCCACAGCTCTACTTCTGCCTTTTTGCTGATTAATTGGAGATGAGTATCTCTCAGCTTTGTCTGCCCAGGCTAGCTTTGAACCAGATCCTTAGAGTTCAGCCTTCTGAATAGCTAGGATTACAGGCGTGAGTCTCCAGTGCCTGGCCACTCCTCTCTTTAATTGGCCCATTGGAAGGAGTGGCTGAGCCGATGCTGTGGACTCTCAGATTCCACCCCAATCTCCAGGGCCCACCCCAAAGGCTGTGTGAAGAGTGTCTGATATGTGTACCTGGGGCACCAGGACAGCCCCCATTTCCATGCCCTCCCCCACATTCACCCAACACTTACCACCACCCTGGTCCTGTTGTCTGGCAGCGTGTCAATGGCTAAGGGGCCCCCACCCAGGTCCAGGCTCAGCTGGGTCCTGTCTGGCTCAGACACCTGTCCAGGGCTTCCTCGAGCTGTCTGATTCCAGCCCCGTGTGGTCTTCCCAGCCCATGCAGAGGCCTGGCTTTCATGGTGACCTGGGAGAAGACAGGAAACTGAGTGCCAGCAGCTCACAGTAAGGAACCAAGAGAGGGTTCAATTACAACTGGCCCACATGTCCTGCTGAGGTCTCAACACCAAAATCATCCAGCCCATACACAGCACATCCCCAAACCCATGTGCCCAATGCCACACCAGACAGCTTGCATACTCCATGCTTTCAACTCTCACCACCCCTCTGCCAGAGACAGATGCTCTCCATTCTGTAGAGAGGAAGCAAGCTCAGAGGTTAGAGGTCACATCGAGAGCCGGAGAAAAGCTTCACATCCAGGTTGATCTGTTCCCAAAGGGGTGAGTATTCTCAACTTCTGCCTGGCTCTATTTCTAATTTTTTTAAAATAGAACTTCGATACTATGGTTCATGTAAGATGACTGAGCCATTTTATATTCTCCACAGCATTCAAGGTGGGCAACTTCTCTGCCTTCTTGCTCAGACTTAGGTTCTAGGTGTGGAGAGTGATTCTCCTGATTGGACCCTCACTGTGGCTGCATCTGCATCTTAGTCTCCTCACTACCTGCATGCTTTGATCTTGGCCACGTCACTTTCCCCATAAAACTAGGGACACAGGGACCAGCTGGCAAGGCAAACAGTTTCATCTCAAATGCTGTCTCCAATTCATTAGTGACAGCCAGCAGCAGTCAGTGAAAAGAATTCTAAAGCTTCATTTGGATTTCATAGGAGAGATTGGCAGGATCCATTAGCAATGTCTGCCACCAGCACAGAATTGGAAAAGCCTCGCCCAGGCACTAATACTTGCATGTTCTCTCCAGTTCCCTCGGGTTGTTAAATCAATTTTTTTTCCTCTTGGGGCTGGGGGTACTAGCATTTGAACTCGGGGCCTTGATCTCTTGAGCCTCACCTCCAGTCTTTTTAACTTTAGTGGTTTGGCTTTTGTAGATAAGGTGCTTTAAACCTCAATCCTCCTATCTATACTCCTCAAGTAGCTGGGAGGATAGTTGTATACCACCACATTCAGATCTTTGATTGAAATGTAGGTCTCTCAAACTTTTCTCTTCAGGCCTAGCCTCCATCTTGATCCTCTCTAATCACCTCAGCCACTAAATCACATCCAACCCCTAAATCAGTTCTAAATGACACACAAAAAAAAAACATCCTTTTCCATTTGAGATGGAGATTTTCCTTCCAATTGTCTACCCACTCTGGATGTATGAGGAACCCAGCCCACCAGACAGATGGATGCCATTCCTCACCCCACACCTATGATTTCATCAATGACAAGCCCATCCCAGGTTATATGGGCCTCATTTCTCACTCTGTCAGCCCCACTCCTCCTCTCCCACCCCCCACCGCTGCCAAGGCCCCAGGATGTGGCTGTCACTCTCCTTTTTTTTTGCCAGTCCTGGGCCTTGAACTCAGGGCTTGGGCACTGTCCCTGAGCTTCTTTTGCTCAAGGCTAGCACTCTACCACTTGAGCCACAGAGCCACTTGCAGCTTTTTCTGGTATGTGGAACTGAGGAATCGAACCCAGGGCCTCAGGCATGTAAGGCAAGCGCTCTACCACTGAGCCACCTTCCTAGGCTGTCACTCTCCTGAAGCCACCACTGATGTGACCATGTGCCTGTCTCCCTTGAATTTCCCCAGGCTTGGCTCTGCTCTCTTCAAAGAAGACTGCAAACAGTAAGCACTCAATCACTGCCTAATTGAGGACACGATGTGGGGAATTAACTCCTGGGAGCTAGCAAGGATAGAGGTAGAGGCAAGGCCTGGCCAGGACACTGCTGTGGGGCTCCAGTTTGTCATTAGACATTTTATCCAATTAAGTCATTCTTGGCTGCTGGTTCCTGCTGGACCTTTGCCTGCCCCTCTCACTTCTCTGTCCCTAATCACAACCAGATGCTCCTGGAGAAGGTGGGGAGAGGGGTGGTCCCTGACCCTCATCCTCAGGATATCTACTGGCTGCCCACAGATGGCACAGAGCCCAGGGCTAGGAGGCAGCTGCCTCCTGCCCAGATCCATGCCAGAGTGGCCTTACCCCTCCTGGGCAGGGCCTGAAGCTGCCTTAGAGACAGAACTGTTTGTGCTGGGCTGGATCTGGGTCTTTCGGCAAGCAGTTGGGGGCATGCGTAGGACTAGGCCTGGATAGGAGCTGTGTGCAACAAGGAGAGGAGTTTGGTAATCACACCATCAGTGGCACTAACCAGGAAAGATGGTGGAGGGAGGCAATGGATGCTGGGGGGAAGAGGACAGGGAGATGACACATGGGTCTTCCCCACTGACCAGGCTGGCCATACACAACTGTAGGCTAGGGACGCTCCATTCTCCTCTGATAAGGCACTAAAATGAGGATGAGCATCACCCCCATGATCAGCCTGCTATAAGCTTCAGGTGGAGGTTTGGACAAGAGGGCTCCGGCCAGGAACAGGGACATACAGTCCAGGAAGGCAGAGAGAAAGTAGATGAGGACAGTGAGGAGCTGGGCCTCGCTTGGCCTGACCTTGAAGGGATGTCACTCAGCCACCTTCCCTCCTCCCAATTGGCTGGCATAGAACATTAGCCCTCAGCTCAAGATGGGAGCAACCACTGTACCCGCATGCACACCCACGAAGTCTGGCAGGAAGCCTCCATCCTCCCTGCTGGTGCTCATCATGTGTGTGGCATACCTAGGCCCTTCCCCTTCATTGTCCCCAGCACTCTTCCCCGGCCGCCTTTGTATGTGAAAGGGTCCCCTGAGGGGTTGGAGGCATGGTTCAGGGGTAGAGCGCCAGCTGAAGAGCGAAAGCAAGCTTTAGATACTGAATTGAGTGCAGGCTTTAGACAAAAGAAAAAGGAAAGGAAAGGAAAAAGAAAGTGTCCCCTGCTCCCTATATAATGTCAGGAAGTTTCCAGAACACAAGCTAGTTAGTGGTGGCCAGTCTAAGGACTGTTGCCTCTAATTGTTATAGGCTGCTACGCTGGGCTGGCACTGTTCCAGGGGCTTTAAACACAGGAACTCATTTCACCTCTACATTAACTCCAGGAGATAGGTACTAGTAAATTCATTCATACATGGGGAAACAGAGGTACAACAATGATAAGAAACCTCTCAAGGTCATGCAATCATTGGGTAGCAGGATTTAAACTCAGGAAAGCTGACTACTCAGGAGGCTGAAATTTATGGATCCAGGTTTGAAGCCAGGCCAGGCAGGAGAAATCCAAAAGACTCATCTCCAACTAACCACAAAAAGCCAGAAGTGGAGCTGTGGCTCAAGTGGTAGAGTGCTAGCCTTGAGCAACAGAACTCATGGACAGCACCCAGGCTAAATTCAAGCAGTTCTGGCACACATAAAAATAAAAAAAGGATGCGGGGGAGGGGGGAGGAGGGAAGGCTGGGAAGGTGGCTCAGTGGTAGAGTGCTTGCCTTGCATGCATGAGGCTCTGGGTTCCATTCCTCAGCACCATATAAAAGCAGAAAAAGCCGGAAGTGGTGCTGTGGCTCAAGTGGTAGAGCGCTAGCTTTGAGCTGAAGAGCTGAGGGACAGTGCTCAGGCCCAGAGTTCAGGCCCCATGACGGACCAAAACAAAAAAGGATGCGGGAGCAGGGCTGGCACTGGCTTGTGTTCCTGGAGGGTCCCTGACATTGGTGCCATTGACCCTAAACATGGGAGCTACAGTTCCCTAGACACAGTTCCCTAGCACCAGCCCAGAGAGCCAGAAGTGAAGGCTGCTAGGAGCTGCCCAGTTGCTCTTTCCTGACCACACAGGCTCCCTCCTGAAGAAACCCAGACCAGCTGGGGACCATCTCCCAACCTGTCCCATTCCACATGACATCCCCTGCCTCCCCAAATCCAGCCTGGCTGGGGGAAAAACAACACAAAGCACTTGATGGGGAGTCGACAGCTGTCCCCTGGCTTCTTTACAGCTTCCTCAGGTCTAACCTCAACCTTGCCTGCTGCAGAGAAAGTCCATGCTTCACAGTGGAACCTGTCAATGCTGAGAAAACAAGGTGTTCTCTACTCAGCTGGGTTATCTCTGCCTTCCTCCTCTTGGCCTTCCTCAATCTACCACCTCACCCTGACTCAGAAGTCAGAGCTCAGCCAGGTCTGGGCCTGGCTCCCTCCTGAAGCTTGATTTCTCTTCCCCTTCCCTTCCCTTTCCTCTCCAAAGGTTCCACCCCTCATCAACCCAACACAGCTGAATTCAGAAGAGCAACCGGTCTGGGGCAACAAAAGATCTCAGAAATTAACCTGTCTAATCCCTTCCTGGTTACAATAGGGTCCCCCCTGCCTAATTATTTGCTTCTCATACATGTCTGAGAAGGAAAGGTGATCCTAAAAGGGGTAGGGGGGAGAGATCCTTCAAATCAATCCCACAACCACGTCAATGATTTTGCCTACAGCCTGGCTTTGTAAATGGAGAAAGCCCAGAGAGGTAAAACATTTTGCACAGCAAATGAAACAAGCCTAGAAGCAGAGTCTCTGGTGCCTTGAAAACTGGTAGTTCTGCACCTGCAGCCTCTGAACACATTCCTTCCACTGCCCTCTGTTCACACCTTCCCCCCCACACACCCATGTACCTTCTCAACAGGGACCCAGGCTCAGCTACACACTGAGGCCATCAACCCTGATGGCAAATCCCACCTTCCCCCCCTTGTCCTATGAAGACCCCCCCTTCCCTCACCTGAGGGGCACCTAGGCCAGGGAGACATAGATCTCTGTCTTCCCCAAAGAAAGTATAGCTTGGGAGTCCTGCTCACACCCAATCTAGGGCAGAACAGAGCAAGAGACCCGGGGGACCACTGAGGCTGGGGCTGGGGCACAAGTTGCTTCTTCCCAGCTTCCTGCTTCTCTGCTGTACCCCGCGGGTTGAAGTGGCAAGTTAGGCGGCTGTGGCTGCGCTGGGGGAGAGGCAGGTGAGGGCAGGTCCCCAGGCAGACTCAGCCTGGGTCAGCTGGACTGGGGACAGAGAAGAGGAAAGGAAAGGGAGGGGGGAGGTCCCCTAGTACTCTCTCCGTTCTAATTCAGCTTGGTCCCCTAGAGCAGCCAGGGGGTCCCCACCGTTCCCACTCTTCCCCGGGGGCCACAGCCTTACAGAACCCCCTCCAGCGTCTTTCCAAGGAGGTAAGGAGGCGTCGCTGTCCAATGCGATGCCTTGCACCCCTCGGGTGTTTGGGAAAGTGGAGTCCCTCCTCCTCACTCCCCCAGCCCAGGCCTCCTGGACCACAGACTTCCCCATCGGGTCCGCACCTGCCTGCGCCCACCCCGCCGTTCCGGTGTCTCCTACCTGCTCGGGGCTGGGGGTTCAGCGCGCTGGCCGCCCCCCTGAGCACCAGCACCAGGAACCAGAGATCACCCCGCATGGTGGGCACCGGGCTCGCCCCCGGCCCGTCGCTGGGGAGGGGACCGGGCCGGGCAGGGGCGCACAGAGCGCGGGGCGCACGGAGCAAGCGGAGCTGCGGCGCTGCGGCCTGGGGAGCCGGAGCGCGAGCCACGCAGGGGGGAGAGGAGGGAGGCGGGGCCGGGCGGGCGCCCCGACTTCCCCGCCTCCCCGGGGCTCCGAGGCAGGGCGGGGAGGAGGGTGGCGAGGGACTGGGCTGGGGACCCTCGGCCTGGGTTTCCTCCCTGTCCTCCAGAGCTGCCTCCCCCCCCCCCCGCGCTGTCCATGAGGGTCCTGCGCCCCTCCCCCGCTCCCCAGGGAACGCAGGAGGAAGGCCCAGAGGGAGCCCCCCCCAACCCCAGCGCCCCCTCCTCCAGGCAGCGCGACTCTCTGAGCGGACCCTCGGAGTTCGGAGGGGCTGCGATGTTAGACACGCCCCGAAACGACCCCACCGCCAGGACCCCCAGCTGTACCCCCACAGCGGCCCGATTCCACTCCCCTCCCAAACTCCTTCGAGACCCCATCCCACCCCCAGCACGGCAACCTAGGGGGTGCCGGGGTCTGGATCCCACACACACACTCTGAAATTGCACGGGCCCCTCCCCTCGCACCCCCGGTCACCACCCGGCTCTGGGGACACAGTGTCTTTTTTTTTTCTTTTCGCTTCCAGGACAGAATAAAAATACCCGCAACTTAGGAGATTTAATAGACGGCAGGCAATCAGGTCAGGACGCGGAGGCGCCTCCGACCTACTTCGTGGGAAAAGCCAGGAGCTGGGGGCGCCGGCGTGGGCGGGGAGGGGCCCCAGGCCTGGGGACCTTCACGATCGCCATAGGAAGAATGTGGGTGCTGGACTTCCTGGGGGGGGTGGATGTCCTCGGAAGGAGGGGGCCGGGTGGGGAGAGGGGAGGGACAGTGTAAGCTGGAAGAAGCAAATTGCCTATCACCGAGGTCAAAAAGAAGGCCTGAGGAAGGAAGCAAAGCCCCCCCCCCGAATCCCAGTTCCCCCTTCCTCAGGACCCAGGGTCCCGGGAGGCCGCCCTCCTCCAGCCCTAAACCTCCGATCCTCGGAACTCTGGGACTGTTAAGGTAGGGCTGGATGTCTAACTTAAAGCCCAACTTGACCGACTCCCAGAGATCAAATGGGCTCGGTTTGCAGCGGTGGCTTCTGACTGCCCTCCAGTGGACACGTGGTGAGCCGCAAGCTCGGCGTTTTGAGGTGAATCGCCCCTTTCCCCCGCGCGCGCCCCGAGTCTCCCCACGTTCCCCCGCTGCCCCTTACCCTCCTGCCAGATCCTCGGTCCCCGGCCTGCGCCGGCGCGGTGCCCACCTCCAGCGCTCGCCCCCGCCTCGCACCTCGTTGGAGGGGAGAGAGCCCAGGATGGACTTTCAGATCCCTACAGAATCTCCGAGCCTGGCGTGTCCGAGGTCCATCTTATAAGATGTAAGTGGGGCTCAGAGTTATTGTTTGCAACTTGGAAATCGTTGAGAGCAAATGACTTGCACGAGTTTGAAATGTGTAGCACTCGAGCATCGTCAGAGTCACCTGGGGCGTTTATTAAAACCTATTTCCAGGTTTCTAGGAAATGCGTTTCATACCCGTGTATCGAATTCACTAGGTCTGGGCCAAGGCCGGGGAATCTGCATTTCTGACACGAACGCAGGTGGTGCATATATTTACAAGCACCACTCTAGAAATTCCCAGTTTCAAGAGAAGAAAATAGAAAGGGAAGGGGGCACCCGGATTTGAACCGGGGACCTCTTGATCTGCAGTCAAATGCTCTACCACTGAGCTATACCCCCTCTGCCGGTGGCCGGGCGCTGGTAGTTCCTTAGTACTACGCCTGCGCAGGCGCAGTGCGTCCCTACCAAAAGCAGGGAAATAGTCTCGGAGATTTTCAAGAAACCGACTAGATCCATCGAGATCGCTCGCTTGGAAACCGGACGCGATTCCCAACGCTCTGAGCTAAAGATTCTTAGTGACGATGGGAGGAAAATGGAATTAGAGAGTGTGCGGGTCTCCGGAACCCTTTCCAGGGCGCTTCCCCGACTCGCCGAGTCCCCTGCTCCTCGGCGTCCCGTTCTCCCTTGCACAAGCTCGGGCAGCCTCTCCCGCCTCCCCTTTCCTTTCTTAGGCCGTTCCAGGCTCCTGGAAACTTAGGCTTGCCTTTGAGGGGGAGCAGGGGGTGACCCGCACTCGGGGTGCACAGGCGACACCTGTCATTCCACGAAGGGGTTGTTCGGCGCGACCTCCCGGCCGTGCCCCGTTGGAGGTACACAGACCGAGCGATGGCCAGCGCGGGGATGGAAGTCCCACCCACCCGTACCCACGCGTAGAAGAGTGAGTGGGCCCCAGGCTTACTCCGCTCCGATTTGCCTGACGACATCTAAGCGTGGCCAGGGATACTCACACAAAACATTAAAAAGTATAACCGTAGAGGGGGCACCCGGATTTGAACCGGGGACCTCTTGATCTGCAGTCAAATGCTCTACCACTGAGCTATACCCCCGCGGTGGTGACACGGCTCCCTTTGAATACACTTTGGTAGGATGAGGGTGTAGCGTTATCTAATCTTCCCTGCGCTTTTGATCTGAAGATTCCTTGAGTATAAACTTCATGTTATCAGGAATGCCCTTCAGCTTAAAGCACCTAAGCCCGCCCCCTGGCCACATGATCCTTTGCAGCAGCCTCCCCTTCCCCTCCCCCCACCCCCCATATTCTGAGAGCTTTAAAGACCAAGTCAGTTTGAGGAACAGTCAGGTAGAAAAGATGAACAATTTTCAACGATATTTATTACTACATTCGCATCTTAAAAAAAAATCCTAATGCAATGTGCAAAGACAAACAAAATAAATAGTCCCCATAGGAAGCTGGAACCCTTGGGAGGAGTGGGGTTCTCAGGGAAGGACCCTGGAAGGGAAGGGATAGCACCTGGCAGCTCGAAGCTCAAGCCCTTTGATCAGAGTAAGCACCACAGAGGCAAGGGTGAAAGGGTGTGAAAGGTGCCTCCCTGTCTGGGTGCTGGGCTGCACTTCCCCATTCCCCAACACACCCCGCAGCTCCCCTGGGGTCTCCAGAACACTGAGGTTGTAGAATGGATGACAACTTTGCCAGAGCAACTTAGGGTCTGTGGACTCGCTCCTCTGTGGCAGTTGGCAGTGACAACTGTCCATAGCTGCTCGGCAACCACCAGTGAATCAGAGAAAAGCACAAAAGTCACTTGGGTTTCTCATCCACACTGAACTGTGCAGAATGCCCATAGTTTCCAGTGGGCCCGGGGCTGGGCCATCATTTAGCAGAGGCCTGAGACTGCATCCACTGGAGCCGGGCAGGCAGCCTGAGGGAGGGAAAAAGGGGCAGGGGATTAGCACTTCTGTAAGGTGATGGCCTTGAAGGCTAAGGCCTTGGCTGGAGCAGACTAAGGGAGCAGCCAAGGTGACATGCGGTCATTTAATATCCAAAGGCAACTGACCTGAGTTCTTATAATATATCAAGTACTATCTGGGTCAGGGGCAGAAATTTCTTTTTTGGGGGTGGGTGGGGGGTCGTGGGGCTTGAACTCTGGGCCTGGGCGCTGGCCCTCAGCTCTTCAGCTCAAGGCTAAGACTCTACCACTTGAACCACAGCGCCACTTCCAGTTTTCTGGTGGTTAATTGGAGATAAGAGTCTTACAGACTTTCCCGCCTGGGCTGGCTTTGAACTGTGATCTTCACGTCTCAGCCTCCTAAGTAGCTAGGATCACAGGCGTGAGTCACCTGTGCCGGTCAGGGGCAGAGATTTCTGACATAAAGCAATCACATTCTCTGATGTTTACTGGCTAGCAGAGGCATGGGTGTCAAGCTAGTGCTCCAAGTAGTAAATCCACAAACTATGCTTCAGTGATTGTGAAGGAGATGTCCTAGGGCCTCTGGGAGTCAGGGAAGGTTCCTCTGAGGAAGCAAACTGGAGTCTCACCTTGCTGGGTCCCTCTGGGCAAGCCTGGGTCTCTGTCCCAGCTGTTGTCACTAGGGACAGTGCAGGATGACTTCAAATGCCAGGGAAGAAGCTTCACAAGGAACTTCTCCCATGAAAGAGTAAACAAGCTCAAAGCAAGATGGAATGCGTCATCTCTAGGCCCTGGCTTGTGGGGAGTACTTAGGAAATACTGGTTGGACCAAACTGACTATAGGTTGGGGGAAGGGAGGGCCTTCTTAACAGAGAGGGGAAAATATACTATCAGAAATCTGTGGTTCATTAGCCAGGGGCCAAGGGCTTATACCTGTAATCCTAGCTATTCAGGAGGCTAAGTCTGAGGATCATGGTTCAAAGCCAGCCCGGGCAGGAAAGTCCTTTAGACTCTTATCTCCAATAAACCACCAGAAAACCGGAGGTGGTGCTGTGGTTCAAGTGGTAGAGCAATAGCCTTGAGCAAGAGTTCAGGGACAGTGCCCAGGCCCAGAATTCAAGCCCCACAACTGAGAAAGAAGGAAGGAAGGAAGAAAGAAAGGAAGAAGGAAAGAAAGAAATCCATCAGGCACTGGTGGCTCATACCTGTAATCCTAGCTACTCAAGAGGCTGAGATCTGAGGATCATGGTTCAAAGACAGCGTGGGCAGGAAAATCCATGAGACCTTTATTCAACTAACCACCAGAAAACCAAAAGTGGCACTTTGGTTCAAGGTGGTAGAGCACTAGCCTTGAGCAAAAGAGCTCAAGGACAGCACCCAGGCCTTGAGTTCAAGCCTCAGGACAGGCACAAAAAGGAAATCTGTGGTTCCTTGGACTAACTTGCCTAATGCCTCTTCTTCAAAAAAGGACTCTGGGGGTGATACTGGCAGCCAAGTTTCAGGAGGCTGAGGCAGCAGGCTTTCCAATTTGGAGCCAGAAAGAAAGAAAAGAAAACACTGGGTTCCTAGCTTGCTACCATTCTATTCAAGAGGTCCGAGAAAAGGGAACTGTCCAAAACCAAAGGAATGTACTTTTGGGGTAGCCCAACTCATTCATACCCTGAAAGTATTTGCTGGGTTTTATACTACTCTGCTCCTCTGACTTGCTACACAGAGTAAGTGACCTCATTTCTTGAACAACTACTGTGTGCCAGGTATTATTCTGGGAATTGGAAAAATAGTTTCCTTCTCAGCAGCTTCCCTCTGCCATCTTATTAAAAATGCAAAATCCCCAGCTCAGTGGTAAAGCCTGGGGTCCTCCGGCCTCCATCTCTCAAGTGCTGAGATTACAGGTGTGCTGGGATTGTGTATCTCAAGAGGCAGGGCTATGTGTCTGCTTGTTCACTGCTGTTTCTCCAGTACTCAGAAAGATTTGACAAAGCAGTGCCACCATCTACTCTCTGCAGAAGCTGTAGGGATGGCAGATCAAAAAGTCCAGAAGAGTCAATGCCTTCGACTGGAAGGTTTGTCCCTTGAGCCTTTCCATGATCACCTCTTTGCTTTGTTGAGGTGTTGGCTCAAGGGCAACCTCCTGGGAAATGTTATTGCTGCCCACCAGGATCCAATCAGACCAGTCCCTGCCCGCCTCCCATCATTCTTACCCAGTTTCACTTCCTTCTCAACACTTCCTGGTTACTAAAATGACGGTTCCTCTGGGGAATACTACCTCTTGCTATTAACAGCCCCCAGGCAGCAGAGACTCTGCCCTGCCCACAGAGCACCCACAGCACCCAGGCTGTGGACAAGTGCTCATCTGACTGAGGCCAGAGCCAATAGGGAACCAAATTCTGACAGGAGGAATGACAGAGGACAAGATCTTGTGGTCCATCATCCCACGCATGGTCCAGGTTCTGCAGGAGGGGGTTGCCACTGACCCTTCCCCCGTCAGAGCACAGCAGCCTTGGATGTGCCATGGGTGATCTTTGATGGCGCTGAGAGAGAGGAACTGGGAGATCTCTGCCGTGGTCATGGAGTCCTTCACATCCTGCTTGTTGGCAAAGATCAGGACTGAAGCATCTCGAAGTGCCTGTAGACAGAAAAGCCCTAGTCAAGTCCAGGCACTGGTGGCTCATGCCTGTAATCCTAGCTACTCAGGAGGCTGAGATCTGAGGAGCGCAGTTCAAAGTCAGTCCAGGAAGAAAACTCCATGAGACTTTTATATTGAATGAACCACCACAAAACTGGAAGTGGAACTATGGCTCAAATGGTAGAACACCAGTGAAAAAGCTAAGAGAAAGTCCTCTATCCCTGACTTCAAGCCCTGGTAACAGCAGAAAGAGAGCAAGAGAGAGAGAGACAGAGACAGAGAGAGACAGACAGACAGAGACAGAGATACAGAGACAGAGACAGAGAAGAAGCACCCTGCCCAGATCCCCACAGTAAGAAGTGCGACCAGGCACTGGTGGCTCACGCCTGTAACCCTAGCGACTCAGGAGGCTGAGATCTGAGGATCATGGTTCAAAGCCAGCCTGAGCAGGAAAGTCTGTAAGACTCTTATCTCCAATTAACCACTTGAAAACTGGAAGCGAGCAGAGTGGCTCAAAGTGGTAGAACGCTAGCTTTGAGCGAAAGAGCTCAGGGACAGCGCCCAGGCCCTGAGTTCAGCCCCAAAACAAAGCAACTCTGGCTTCTGTGATCACTGTGTTGAGGGCTCTGCAATCTTTCATCTGGGACAGATGAGAGAGATGCTGTCAGCCTAGGGCATTGGGAACAAAGCTCAGAGAGGCTATGTGATTGGACTAAGGACACACAGCTAGACCCACTGAGCCTTCTCCTTACCTCATGGGCCAGCATCTTATACAGCTCCTCTCGAGTAGTCAGCAACCGATCCCGATCTGAGCTGTCAATCACGAGGATGATAAACTGGCCAGCAGAGGAAAGCCATGAGTGGTGAGGCTTTCTTTTTGGGGAACAGATTTCTATCCACAGTGCTGCCCACTGGCCTCTTCCAGCCCCACAGGAAAGGAACTGTACAGCCTGGTTCTCTTTTATCTGCCTTTCTGTGCAGACAGAATACACATACCTGATGTACACAGTGGGTGGTGCTAAGCCCTGGAGATTCCTGGATCCATTTAGGCCTCATGATCACCATGGGGAATCGTTATTATTATGACTCCCATTTTATAGACAAGACAAGGCCCAGTGAGATGAACTTGCCCTGAGCCACATAGCTTGTGAGTAACAGTGCTGGAATTCAAAGTGCTTTGTCCCACTCCAAGAATTAAACCGTGGAGTTTGACTTCTGCCACGGAGACAAAGGGCCTCTGCCATGCAGAATATCAAATAGAAAACTTCTAGAAGCAGACAAAGTTATCAGGCTGGCCTAGAACTCATAATCCTTCAGCTTCAGCCTCCCAACTAGCTGGGATACAGATACGCACCATCATGCCCCACCTAGGATTCAAAAACATGTTGATAGATACTGCACTATGTTACGTACTGGCACACATGCATTAGCAATTGTTCTGTTGTTATTTAATTTCCATCATGACTTGGAGAAGTTCTTAAGCCCTGACTTCATAGGCAGAACGGATATTCAGAGAGGGTAAGAGGGCAAGCTAACATCACACAGCTGCCTTGGAGATCCCCCACAGACCTGGTGTCCTCCTCACCTCTGTGTTGGCATAATAGACGTTCCAGCTGGAGCGCAGAGCCTCCTGCCCCCCAATATCCCACATGAGGAAGTGGGTCTTCTGAACAACAATCTCTTCCATGTTGCTACCGATGGTGGGACACGTGTGAACCGCCTCATTAGTCAGGCTAGAGAGGCAGGAGAAGAATCAGCCCAGCCTACTTCCAGCTCTGACCCCCCACCCCCATCTCTTATTCCCAAAATGCATAGCCTAGTCTAAGTCAGAACAACTCAAACAAGCTTAACCAAGCACCTGCTGGGGAAGCTGGGACAAGGGTTGACCTAGGGAAAATGAAGGCAGAAGTGAGATCAAGTAGTGAGCAGGCTTGGATGCCACAGAAGGGAAAGTCTTTAGGGCAATCTCAAATTTTCATATGTAGTTGAATCATGGGAAAGCCTTGTAAAAATGCAGGTTTTTGATTCAACATGCTGAGCTGCAGTGAGGTAAGTTCTTACTCTGCAGCCCACACTGGCCTAGAACTATAGATCCTCTGGCCTCTGCTTCCCAAGGGCTGGGATGGCACATATGAGCCATCACTCACAGTACCCAGGGTTTTTTGCATTTCTTACAAGCTCTTAGATGCTGTCCTTGCTTCTGGTCTGTGGACCACACTTGGAGTTGCATGGGCTTGGGAAAAAGATCTAAGTAAGTGCCATAAGACAAATGCCCCACTCCCAGTGACATGGAATAGACGCACATGTATGTGAAGATTGCTTGTGAGCTGGGCACTGGTGCCTCATGTCTGTAACTGTAGCTACTCAGGAGACTGAGATATGAGGCCACTGCTTCAGCCACACAGACTCCCTGAGCCACCCAGGTAGCAAAGTCCATGAGACTCTTATTTCAAATTAACCAGCAAAAAGTCAGGAGTAGAGCTGTGGCTCAAATGGTAGAGCACCAGCCTTGAGTAGAAAAGCTAAGGGACAATGTTCAAGCCCTGAGTTCCAGCCCCAGAAGCACATACATACAAAACGAATGCTTTTCAAAGCTTATAATGTTGGTTAGGATGAGGAGAAAATCTGGGAGTGACAGGGACATTTACTCTGCACTGCTTGGATTTTTTCAGCTCTAATCTTATTTTTTGGCCATCCTGGATTTTGAACTCAGGACCTCACGCTTGCCAGGCAGGAGCTCTACCACTTGACACCCTCCCCCCAGCAACTTTTAGATTTTTCAAAAATATTTACCCAGGGGTCAGGAAGGTGGCTCAGTAGTAGAGCTTGCCTCGCATGCATGAGACCCTGGGTTCGATTCCTCAGCACCTCTATAAGCAGGGGAAAAAAACCGGAAGTGGTGCTGTGGCTCAAGTGGTAGAGCGCTAGCCTTGAGCTGAAGAGCTGAGGGACAGCGCCCAGGCCCAGAGTTCAAGCCCCACGACTGACAAAATAAATAAATAACATTTACACATACTGCTTTTTTCAGGAAAGTCTTTGTTCTAGCTCCACAAAGTACAAGCTCCTTGGGAGAGAGGCCATCGTGAGCGCGAGCCCAGCAGCGCAGCCCTGAGCACGTGTGCAGCTCTGCTGGACTGGGGTCTGCAGGGTGAACCCTCCCCCGGGAGCTGGGGTGGAGGCTGGAGACCCAAGTTAACCTGTGCAAGGTGCGGGAAAGGAGGCCGGTGTCAGGACCTGCCCAGATTGTAACAGGGTGTGCGCGTGGCCCAGGGTGGAGGGCGGAGGCCGTGGCATCTGGAGCTGCCCACAGCTGCAGGGTGCGAATGCCAGGCCGACGGCCACGACGCCAGGAACCTCATCCTCATTCCCATCACCCTTCCCTCCCGGTGGCTACAGAACCAAGGGGAGGGCTTTGGCGATTGGCCCAAGTGCCTGTCAGTCTACTGGGAGGCCCCGCCCCTCTCCCCGCGCCCTCTCCGCCCCGCCCCCTCCCTCCCCACCCCAGACACTTACAACTGATAGAGAATGGTGGTCTTTCCTGCATTGTCCAGCCCGAGGATGATGACTTTGTGTTCTGGAGGCATCCGAGGGTAAAGGCAGGGTCATATTCAAACCCGATGATTAACTAAGGGCTCATCCCTCCTCCCTAGTGTTCGGGGGGGGGGGGTCTCTGCCCACCTCACCACTTTCTACTTCCCACCTATGCTGCCCTGGGTCAGCGGATAAGAGAGTCCCCCTACCACCACATTTCGAGAAAAGGGACTGGGGCGGGGGGCAGAGGGGGTGAGTCTGGGAGGCTCTGGGCTTACCAAGGGGTCGTGGGAAAGAGACAAACCCTAAGTCACAATTGCGGAAATCCGGCAGTGATCCACCAGCCCAGCGCCGTTTAGTTGGGGAAGAAGGAGGCTTTTCTAGCCCGGCACCCTGGCACATGGAAGCGCGGGGACCCGAGGACAGGGCTGGCACAAGGATCGAGACCCCCACCCTACCCCACCAAGAGAAGAACTCCCACATAGGACTCTAGGAGTTCAAGGATCCCCAGCACCCCTGCCTTAACGACCCTAAACCGGGGAGCCCCAGGAGACAACGAAATCAAAGAGATCACGAGGTGCCCTGTGCACCCCTTACCCTGGTTCCCGAAGATGCCCATCAGCTTGGCGATCAGTTGTCCCATGGCACCTCCCAAACCAAGTAGCAGTAGGAGTCAATCGTCTCTCTCTCCAGAGTCTCACTTAAGTTTTGGGAGCCCCGCCCCCAGGGCAGAGCCAATCGGGTTTTGCCTACGAGATTGGGGAAACCCTCGTGCCACCGGCTCCGCCTGGGAATCCCCTGGGAGAGGGAGGGCTGGCATGAAAGGTTACCGTGACCATATGCTGTTTGACCTGGACCCTGGACACGCCAGGAAAAGGGAGTCTCAGACTCTATAGCCTTCCCTCGCCCTAAGAAAACTCTGACAAGTTTTCTGGGCGTTCTGCTGCTTCACTGCAAATCACTGATGCCAGCTCTCCCTCCCCTAAGAGCCAATGCTAGGGCAAGACCCTAGATTAACGTAAAAACCCAGGTGACCCCAGGCACCGACCAACTGTGAGACACACAGGGATCTCTGATCCCCTCTGATGTGGGAGAATATTCCAGTCTTAAGAAGTATTCTAGTTATTCCAGTCTTGGGGCCTTATGTTATCTCCTGGGAAAGGGCAAGGTCCCTTCCCCACCTTCAGGTCCCTCTTAGGAAGTTTCCAGGAGAAACCGAGATCTCTTCTACACACCACTGACAAACGATCTGGTCAGGCAGTTGATCTCAAGAATGGTGTCTGAATTCAGACAGGGCTAGAAGAGAAATCTCCAGCAGAGACCCTGCAGTAAAGACCCAGGTACTAAAACCCAGTGGAGGAGCTCACACCTATAACTGCAACACTGAGAAGGCAGAGACAGGGGGATGTAGAGTTCCAAGCCTGCTCAGGCTACATAGCAAGAACCTTAAAAACAAACAACAACAACAAAAAAACCCACAAGCCGGGCGCTGGTGGCTCACACCTATAATCCTAGCTACTCAGGAGGCTGAGATCTGAGGATCGCGGTTCAAAGCCAGCCCGGGCAGGAGAGACCGTGAGACTCCTATCTCCAATAA